ACGAAAATCAGCTATTCTACCGGCAAAAAATTAGTAGGTCCTGGCCCATGTGCTATTACTTTAAGAGCTCCAGGAACCCTCTGCGTTCCACCCAATATATTTATCCTTCACCTACTATTGATACCTGAGTCTTCCTCCTTGGAGCTTTATTCCTTTAGGCTAGTGGTTCTCAAAATTTAGGGGGCATAAGAGTTGCCGGATAAGCCTGTTGAAATGCAGATCAGAGGCTCTGATCGGAGATTCTGACCATGTAGTACAGGAGGAAGTTCCAGAATTGGCTTCTTTAACCAGCATTGCAGGTAATTAAAATACGACTCTTACACACTCTTTTCACAAACACAACTTTGAACACTGTTCAAAGTATCATCATCAAGGATCATCTCCTCTTTCTTTTCACTCCAGCAAGCCTGAATGCTTTTCAATCCTGGAACAAACTATGATTTACTTCTCCTCAGGACCTTTATATATACAGTTTCTCCCTCCCGAAATTATTTTCCCATATTTTTTGGACCAACTTGAACATTTTTCCTCAAATGTAAATATCGTTTCTCCAGAATTCCTTGCCCCTGGAAACTAAGTTATCAATTCTTGCCATACAGTCCAACGTTCACTTTGCTTCTCTTTTTAAACATGTACTACTCCTGTTCAGTGTCTGTGTCTTCCCACATACTCCCACCTCCGCATCACGAGCTCAATGAGGGAAGAAACCATATTTGCCTTGGTCACCATTACACCCCCAACACTTCTTTGTGGTGATGGGTACAGTGGTCACTCAGCAGGATTAACTGAGTGAAGAAAATGAAAGAATGTTAACATGCAACTCTCCTCATGACAGACAATACTACCTGCAATTCCTCATGCAGCTGCCATTTAGATCAATTTTTAAGAAGAGTGTTTAATAGGGAAGATAATAAAGATTTTATTTTGGAAAAGAAACAAGAGGTGAGATTTAAAGTGGCTCACTGCTCAATTTGCTCTAGCACTGGCTTGAGATAAAAATGCTACTTCCTATGTTGAACTGGGGTGTAAAAAAAAATTCCATTCAGGACTTGTTTATTGTCTGAAGATCATTCATTGATGGCTATTTAACCTCATCAGCAGAAGTTCTTATCATTAAGAGTTATTAAACACTAACCATGTCAGAGGATTAGGAGAGGCTCAAGGAAATTATCCCTGAAGATCTTGGGAGAAAAAAAAATGTGATGGTTAATTACAGATTAGTTCACTGAACTGGCCTCTGATATAAGATTTTCGAGGCATTCAATTGTGGCTATTAGGGTGTTCTCTCACCATAACAGATAAATTGAGAGAAATAATTTTCAATTGATCTTCATTAATGAAGCCATCCCATATGCATTAAATAAGCCCCTGCTGACTGCTAGACAAAACCAGTAAAACAAAGGCCCTGTCCTCAAAAGGTTTTTAACCGGGTTGGTAATTGTATCAGGTTCTGTCCTAAAAACACTTGTGTAATAAACCTCAGTGATTACACAACAGTAATATCTGTCACGTATCTGTACATTTCAGCTTATCTATGCTGGGTTCACACATGAGTCTGAATATCATGTTGGGGTGAACTAATCCAGGCTGATCTTTGCCTGGTCAACTTGAGCCTGGTTCACGTGTCCCTCACCCTCATCCTGGGACCAGCAGGCTAGTCTGGGCCTGCAATTTTATGGCAATAGCTGAAGCACAAGAAAATAAACTCAATCTCAGAAGTGTTTCTTCAAATCTCCACTTGTATCACATTTATTGACATCCCATTGGACAAAGCTAGTCACATGCGTGAACTCAGACTCAAGAGGCAAGGAAAATACTTTGTCTCTTAATTGGAAAATTGCAAAGCCACATAGCAAAGGGTGTAGATATGAGGAGGGGAAGGAATCGAGGTAATTAATGCAATTTACTATAGTAATATAAACAAGGAAACACAAAATTAGGATTTAGTAACAAACTTGAGGAGTGTCAATATCAAGAAAGGCAACTTTATTACTTTATTTACATACTCTGTTTTTAGCGTAACTCTGGTGACTTCTTTTAAAACCTCAGCAGCAAGTTAATATGTTTGCTTAGACTTCCCTAACTGGTCCAATTTAAGAAGGATCTGAGGCATCTGAAGGATTAAGAACTCTCCATATTCCCTTGAACCTAAAGCTTGCTCGACATTAAGAAAACATCAAGCAGCAAGAGTTTTAACAGCATGGCATAATAGTTTGGGAAGAAAAGTGCCTTAATGTTATTTTTAAGCTGCTAGGTATTTGAATACCATAAGGAGGATGTTCTAAACGGCATTTCTATTCTTTATTAAGATACTTTGTGTAATTAGTAGTGCTTCTATCAGAATACATAGTAATTTGGAATTCATACAAATTAAAAGCCCCCCAAAAAAAGGAACAGGAGTGGTGAATAGAAGGTTAAAAGAGTGAAACTTCCCTAGGGTAGATATGTCTACGCAAGTAGGTGCAATCTAAATAAAATCTTTAGGCTTCATGTGGAGTAAGGGCAGAATTTAAAGAGAGAAAATCTGTAGGAAGAGGAACCAGGAACCCAAATATGCTTCCAGCCAGAGGGGCACTTCACTGTCAGTCTTCTGAAAACTCTAACACTCAGACTAAATTCTGTATATACCATCATGAAATCTGCATTGGCATATTAAAAAATAAACCAAACCAACAAACATATGAAAAAGTAGCCATTATGCATTTTTTTGTTATTTTGTATCTTATAGTTCTGATAAAGGTGGATGCTGCCAAATGGAAAGCGGAACGTTTTCATATAACATTATGAAAACTATGGACACTACCTTCCACAGGGAAGGTTGTGAAAGTGTTTCTGATATCGCTTACCATGAGTTTTCAAGAGAAGGGGGTGAATACATCATCTGGATCTAATTTCTTGCTATGTTGCCAGGACCATCTTGCTTCATTATTCATTGGTCATATGACAATGGTTTGGCTCACCATGCAGTTACATTGCATCCAAGCCACATTGATGAATCAACAACATCCAAAATTAGTTGCTTATAATGTCTAGAGGGAAGTTAACATGGCATTCCTGGCCTGGGCTTACCATAGAAGCAAAAAATAGTGGGATCAGGATGATATAAATAAGTTTAGATATTAAAACCTTATCAGCTGCTACCAAACAGGGACAATTCTGATACAGTGGGGAAAGCTATAGCCTGAAAAAAAAGATGAACTTCTTATAGAAAGAAATTAATATCTAGCATTACCTCGTACCATATGCAAAAGATCTAAAACTATAAAACTTCTAGGAAGAAAACATTTGTGGCCTGAAGTTAGTCAAAGTCTTTTTAGAGGACTACAACAACGAAGAAGCATGAGCTATAGCAAATTTGATAAATTAGACTTCACCAAAATCAAAAATTACTCTTTGAAAGACGCTATTAGGAAATGAGAGAAACCAAAGACTGTTAGCAAAACACCTAGATCTTAAAAGAACTGATTCAGAATATATAAAGAATTCTTACAAAACAATAAAAAGACAAATAACAATATTTTAAAAATTTGACAAAAAATTTTAACACTTACTTCATAAAAGAAGAAATACAGTTGGTAAAATAAGCACTTGAAAAATTCCTCAGCATCATTAGGTACTAGTAAAAAGCACAGTGAGGGTCCGGCCAAATGACTCAGTTGGTTAAGAGCGCGAGCTCTGAGCAACAGGGTCGCCCATTTGGAGCTGAGCTTGCGTCCTTTATAACTAAGATTGAAGGACAACAACTTGACTTGGAGCTGATGGGTCCTGGAAAAACACAATGTTCCCCTTCCCCTTCCCCAAGTTCCCAACACTTGTTCCCCTCCCCAATTCTCAAATTAAAACAAAAACATCTTAAAAAAAACACAAAAATAAACAGTGAGATATTACTATACATCTACTGTATTTGCTAACACTTAAAAAACTGAAAAGGCCAAGTGTTGGCAAAAATGCAAAGCAACTGGAACACTTGCATATTGCTGATGGGAGTGCAAAATGGTACAGCAACTTTGAAAAGAGTTTAGCAGTTTCTTGTAGCATTCAATATACACATACAGATCTATTGTACTTCCAGATATTTGCTTAAAAGAAAACATTTGCCCATACAAAGGACTGTATGGAATGCTTACAGCACCTTCTTTTCATAATAGCCAAACCCTGGAAATAACCCAGATATCTAATAATTGGAAAAGAGATTTAAAAAATTATTGTATATCCACAAAATGTAGCATTATTTAGCTCTAACAAAGAATAAGCTACCGACACATGTGCCAACATAGATGAATCTCAGAGTCATTATGCTCAATGACAAACTAATCACCAAAGGGTCCGTACTTTAAGATTATACTTATATGAGAACCTTTAAAAGTTAAAACTATAAGAACGGAAACAGAACAGATATTACCGCTGGCTGGGAGGGGTAATGGGATTGACCACAAAGAGAGAACTTTGGGGGATGATGGAAATGTTCTGAATCTCAATTGTGCTGGTGGTTACACAGCTGTTTATATTTGCCCAAACTCCTCAAACTATAGAACTGAACATGAAAATGTTCCTAGATGTAAATTATCTTAATAAACCTGACTTTTTTTTAAAAAAGTAAAGCAACGGTAGCTTAGACCAGGGTCATAAGAGAGGAAATGAAAAAGAGTGAAGGAGTGGAAGGGAGGTCCACCAACTCAGCACTGTAGAAGGCTCCAGAATCCCCCTCCTCCCATGCACACACCAATGTACAGTAATACGTGGAGCAATTGCCTCTGAGAGAAATCCAGAAACTAGCTGAGTGACTCCTACACATGGGGCGAATAAGAAAATACCCACATGCAAACAGGGAGGAGAGGCTGAGACACACTTGCATCAAAACCCACAGTATCTCCCAGTGCCAAAAGATCTGGAGGAAACGCCCAACTCCCAGCTCCTTCAGAGGAGTGAGGGGTTTGGACCTGAATTTAGGACCCCAACTTTCAAGACACTCAAAAGCGACAGGTTCCCAAAACACCTACCTCTGAAAGCCAGTGATTCCTGCATCGTTGAGACCCACAAGATGATATAGCAGAAAAGGAGAAATTGTTTCCAGGCACGTAAACACTGACTCCAGCTACTTCCTCCAGGGCTCAGTGCAGGTGGAAGAGGCAAAATCGCCCATTTCACAGTTTTTTCCTGAAAGGGGTCCATCGGCATACTTTGAAAGCTGCTGCTCAAGGGCTAAGGTGTATAACTTAGCACATATCTTGGGGCCTGCTGTCATCCTCCCAGGAGTCATGGGAAAACTGGTGACCACCTCCCCGGCTGTCTCCTTGCAGCCTACTCCAAGTGACCAGCTTCTGCCTGGAAGGAGCTTGCACACACATCTCTGCCTCAGCTTTTGCAGCTGCCCAACCAAGGGATGGATCCCCAGGTCAGCTGGCTCTGACAGCCAACGGGACTTCCATATACTAGTCCCACATGGGGATAAGCTGCTTAACGTTGGTCTTGGCAATGATTTTTTGAATTTGACAACAAAAGCAAGAGCAACAAAAGGCAAACATAACAAAGTGGGACTACATCAAACTAAAATGCTTGTTCATCAAAGGAAACCATCAACAAAATGAAAAGTCACCCTATGAAATAGGAGAAATATTTGCACACCACACACCCAATAGAGGTTAATATCTAAAATATACAAGGAACTCATACAATTCAACAGCAAAAAAACCAAATCACCCAATTAAAATGGGCAAAGTACCTGAATAGACATTTTTCCAAAGACATACAAATGGCCAGGAGGTACAAGAACAGGTGCTCAATATCATGAATTATCAGAGAAATGCAAAATTAAAACTTTAATGAAATATCATCTCACACCTGTTAGGATGGATTTATCAAAAAGACAACAGATGACACATGCTGGTGAGGATGTGAAGAAAAGGGAGCCCTTGTACACTATTTGTGGGAATGTAAACTGGTACAGCCACAATGAAAAAGAGAACTACCATATAATCTACCAATTCCACTGCTGAGTATTTATCCAAAGGGGGGAAAAATCATTATCTTGAAGAGTTATCTATACTGCCATGTTCACTGCAGTATTATTTGTAATAGCCAAGGTATATAAATAAACTAAATGTCTGTCAACAAATGAACGGATCAAGCAAATGTGTATACATATGTGATATAGACATATACACATGTCACATTTTATACACACACAATAGAGTATTACACAGCCTTTAAAAAGAAGAAAATCCTATCGCTTGTGACATGGATGAAGATGGAGGGCAACATGCTAAGTTAAATAAACAAGACAGAGAAAGACAAGCCAGAGAAAGACAAATGGTATCACTTATATGTGGAATCTAATAACTGAAAAAAAAATTTTACGGTCAAACTCATTCAAACAGAGAATAGAAAAGTGGTTTTTAGGGGCTGGGGGTATGGGATGTAGGGAGAGGCTGGTTAGATGGTGCAAGCTTTCTGTTTTGAGATGAATAAGGTCTGAGGATCTAATGTATAACATGGCGACTATAGCTGATAGTACTATATTGTATAATTTAAATTTGCTAAGAGAGTAGAACTAAAAGGTTCTCACAAAAAAACAAACAAAAGGTTAAATATGTTAGGTGATGGGTGTGTTAACTAGACTGGAGGAATCTTTTCATGATGAATATGTATATAAAATCTCCATGTTGTACACCTCAAATATCTTATGATTTTATTTGTTATTTATACCTCAATAAAGCTAGGGGGAAAAAGAAGTGGAGGGATGATCGCTATGATTTTGGATTGAGTAATGAGATTAACGAAGACAATATTTATTAAGAATTTAACACAGTGCCTGGCAGATAGTATAGACTTAATAAATGTTAGCTATCATAATTTTCAGTTTGCCCAGATAAAAGTTTGTTTAGTAAAGCAAACCCAGTATGAACAGAACCAAAGAACTACCTACAAATGGTATTAGAAAGATTTAGTGTGTACCAAAGTACCTTGGAAAAAATCCTATGAATTATCCTAACCATATTTCGCTAAATAACTAGAGTCCATATCTTAAACTTGCTTATCTAATAATTTGGCTTCAAAAGTCATTCTATGTTCTTTATAGTTTTTTTCAAATCCTTTAACACCAATCTATATTATAAAACTGATGAAGTCGTATTCTAAAAATCAATCTTTATTAAATATGTCAGACCTTTCCCTATATTTTTTTCTATTTATTTAATCTTAGTCTTTTGAAAAATGTATGAAAGAGACAATTTGTCCTTCAAATTTTAGTCACCCAAACATTAGAATACTTAAGCTCTAGTTGTCCAGTGTTTGAATTGTGAAACCATGATGTATTTTCGCAATTGCAAAAGCACCACTAAACACATAAACCATGAAAACCAAAATGTACGACTTTCTTCAACTATTACACAATTGTAAAAAACAGTTTACATAGTCAGATAAAACCACAATATGATGTTACCAGAACTGTATAAGAATGTTGTAATCAGAACTCAAATTGTGTTTTTGCATTGGCTATAAATGTGATTGTGGTATATGGTTCAAGCTGATTCACTTTAGGTTCACTGCAATTGCATATTTTCTGGATACTTGATTCTTTTTTTCTTTTTCTTTTATTCATGCTATCTGATTAAGAAAATAGTGCTTTGTGATTTGGGTTCTAGTAAAGAATTTAGTCTACACCTGCTATCTGATGAAAAAAATCCATGTTCTCCATCCCAAATGGAAAAGATATAGAAAGCAAAAAGAAGGACACTGACACTCAGTGTTCGCCTTCAGTCACTCTGAATCTGATAGAGCACAGGGAATGCTCTCAGCAGCAGCAAGAACATCAGTGTTAGCTGAACAAGGCTTACCTGACAGCAATGCAGTGTTTTTGACTCTTGGGGGAATTCATTAATTGTGTTTGGAAAAATAGAAAATTCATTCTAGAACTCCCATCTATCAGTATTTGTTTTAGAGGAGAAGGTAGTTTAGGAATTGAGAGCCTCTGGGCAAAATTTGTTATAAAATGTCAAACGAACACACTGCTTATTTGGAAGCATTTCTTTTCAATATCATCAATTTTTTCATGTAACATATATGCTTTTGAATAGAAAAACATCAAGCATCACTTGACTATACTACAGCAATTATGATCATATTCAATTGGTATATGTGTTTTCCCCACAAAGTACATAAATACATAAGGAGGGAACTTCAGAGCTAAGCTTAATTCATGCCTTGAACCTCTAAAATTTTTCAATTTGATCCTTTTCCAATGTCTACAGGTATGCTTTTGTAAAAATTGAGTGGCCTTTAAGCACTTCATATGCTGGGCTTTTAAAAAATTAGATTTGTCGGGCCGGCCAAGTGGCACGATGGTTAAGAACTGGCTTGGGATGCCAGAGGGCCCCGGTTCGGATCCCACATATGAGGGCCAGTGACACTGCCCTCTACAGCTAAGATGCTGAACGGCAGCTCAACCTGGAGCTGGGCTGCTGTGAGTCCCCAGCGACGGAGTAGGCTGCAGCCCCTGAGGCAGTGGGTTGCCATGGGCTACCGTGTGTAGCCAGCAGCCAGTGTGAGCGGCCAGCAGCCACAGTGAGCGGCCGTCCAGAAGCTGGGGACTGATCTGCCTCGCCCAGGAAGAACGCAGTGATGGTGCCAAGTTGGGCCAGTGAAGCAACGCCCTCCACAACTAGACTGAAGAGCAAAAAGACAGCAGCTTGTCTGTTCCCCTTCCCCCAATTCCCCAGCTCTGTTCCCATCCCCCTAATTCCCCAATAAGAAAAAAAATTAGATTTGTCCTCTAAATTTTCTGCATTTGAGAAACTAAATATAAACATGAGAATTAAAAGAGCTGGCCAACAATTGAGTCAGGAATAAATTCCTCCCTTTCAAATATCACAGATACAGGTGGATTCTGAAGTTGACCAGAGAGGAACAAAGAAACCGGGAAAGAACAATGAATTGGTTTATGAATAAATATTGCTTTTTTTCTCCTCAGAGGCACCACTCCCAACAAGAGTAAGAAGGGTCTGGGATATCTGCTCCCTTGTGAAATAAATTAGGGGTTTATCTACCTCTGAGTTGCTTCTCCATGAAATAAAGGACCTGCTCATGTATCAGTTAGTTTCCCACATCATCAATTAGTCTCTGACAAGAAAATATTCAGGTTTCTGAAAATGTCAAGTTTTGAAATGGCTCTATTTCTACAAAAATGAACTCTTTGGTATTTAAATGAGACCGAATATATAGAAACACTTACCTGATGATATGGGGAATATGGGCTAATTGACAAATTACCATACAGAATACAAAAAGCATTTGATTGTGATGCCTGAATATACTGGACAGTTAATGCAAAAAAAAAAAAATGAACTTCTGGGTAAGTTGTCAGTAGAGTGAAGACAAGAGAAAGAGTTGTAAAAAAGAGGAAATGAAAGCCACAAATGAGAGCAGTTGTATAATCTGAGGAATTCAGACACTACTTTGTGTCTCAATTCAACATCTTAAGGTACAAAGAACCTCTACTATAAATGTGACCATGCACTGACATAGAAGCCTTCTCCAGAGCCTATATATAAAGTGGTGGCAGAGAAAAAACAATTGAAGCAAGCATTTCAGCACATAATGGGTGATACAGCATCAGGTCACATAGAACTCAACCTATCATTCTCAAGAGGTCTGGATAGTATACATGTAACTGTATTTTGACTTTAACTGGGCTCAAACATTTTATATCATTGAAAAATTTTTTTCCATTAAAATTTTATACAAAATATAATATCTGAAACAGGTAAAAATAGAGCTTCTTAGGTTTGGGGAGGAAGGTGGGATTGGCAGCCCCCAGCCCCACCTACTAGAGGCGTTTTTTAATGCCTTCCCTATGTGGTAGCTCCACAGGGAAGTTCTGTGGGATTTCTACGGCTCTGGGGAGCCACACAACTAAAACATTTTGTTTTTCAGAATTTATATTTTTATTTTATTTTTTTGTTGTTGTTTTCATTTTTTCTAATTATTGGGGTAACACTGGTTAATAACATTATGTAAATTTCATGTGTAACGTCTGTATACTCTATTGTGTTGCTCATCACCTAAAGTCTAGTC